CGTTAAAACGGCAATTAAGATATTATCGTAAACGATGTACTGTATATCGCACACGCCTAATCTTATGTATAAAATATGTAATTATTTCCTGCTCATTCAGAAAATTATTTTTATTTTATTTTTTACCTTCATTATCAAACGGAATGCAAATATTTACATACAATGTGATACAATTTTCTGTGTCTCCCTTTCAAAATATTGAAATAAAAAATTAATTTTGTTTATTCAGTAGGCACTTCTTTCCAAAAGGACAGTTTGCATATTTGTTCATGATTATAAAACCACGTTTTGACAGCTGCAGTCGATATTCACAGATGTATTTGTCGAAAGTGACATAGAATGGAGCAGCTGGGAGCAGAGTCACATGACCCCTGCAGACTGTCAGAAACACACGCTATTTAATGTGGATGGATTATTTTATTATTACTTACACGCTTCCATACTCAACACCACTAAAAGATAATGTTTAGGATGACTTATTACCAACAACAATTGTGATTAGATTATGTGAAAAAGACAATCATTTCACAACTTACACAGGAAAATAAATCGCATATAGACAGCACTGCATGTAAACCCTGCAGGCAAGGTGCCAGATACTCACTTATTTAAAAGCATTTTAAATATATTTTTCTACACAGTACGTGACCAATAATCCTCAGTTGAGTACAGGGGTGCTGTAAAGGGTTGGGGGGGGGGGGCAGGACAATTCCCAGGGCCCCTGAGTGACAAGGCCCTAAACATTCAGAACATAACTGGATTGGTCCGGCTGGTGGGGCCCAGTATGATGTGGTTTCATGGGCCCTAAAATCTCTAGCAGCCCCCCTGTCTGAGAATAACTATGTAACTCAGCCAGATCAGAAACTATAACAGGTGATTAATAATGGTTTCCTGTAATAATAAATCTCCAATCAATCTGCATATTCATCTCATCTTGTCTCTGTCGCCTTCTGGCAGAGAAGGTGTTTAACCTGAAATCAAAACCAGACCGAAATGAGAAGAAAAATTCCTGAATGCAGCTTGAGGACAAATTACACAAAGTGAATAAACAAACTCATGTAAACAGATTCTGTGTGTGAACTTATATAAAGCTCGAACAAAATAAAACTTCTGCAGGTAAGGCAATTGTATTTAACAATTTCAGAAAATGACATCAATATTAAAACAGACGCACTGTTGAACCACGAAGTGTAGTTATTCTGTAGACATAACACAGGTCTGGATTTAATGAATAAACGGAAAATTGCACACTTTAAATACAACATCTCACAAACATCCAATTCTATGCACAACTGATTATTAATGTTTCTTAATGACATTTACATTCTCTAAAAGTTAAAATTTCAAAAACATTCTATTGAATGGATTCACAGCTGAAGTCCAGACTGTATCTACAAGCATAAGCTCTGCTGTCATTGTAGTTTCAAACACAAATGACAAGTGACAGGTTACCTGGTACAATGGGCGGAGCTTAAAGCTCTCCCCCGTCTATGATGTCATAAGCGGGAGGTGGGCGTATCCTTTGTTCTGATTGGTCGAGGGGTTTTGGCCAAATGGTACCATACATGCTTATGCCACGTGTTGCCAATAGGGGGACATATGGTTTGGGGGTGTTTAACACTGTTAAACTTTAATAGAATAAAAATACATGTAATGTATTTTATTAACGTGTTATTTTTAATTACGTTTTACGGAATAATAAAACATATCAGGATGAACGTAAGCTAGCGCATACACGTCCTGCGGGGTTCCGTCCGTCCGCAGTAGACACGAGCGCCCCGGCGTATTTTAAAAGAAGAAAGCACCAAAATGTTTTAAGCAAGAAAAAATTTAGTGTTACTATTTAAAAGAAAGAAAAGCAGGCAGAATTTAAACAAGTACAAACATGCCCTGAAACACTGTCAGAAGAGCAAATGCGAAACTATTTTAGCCAAGTTTTCTAAAAGAAGAAAGCACTTAAACCCATTACATTTAACCAACATGTTTAAAGAAGAAAAACTTTTAGCGAAATTTTAAGCAAACGACACAAGCCCCGAACTTTTAACCTTTTAAACAATTTAAAGAATACTGCGTATTTCAAGCAAACGACACAAGCCCCAAACTTTAACTTTTAAAAGTTAAGTACAAATGTGTCCGAACGAAACAAGAGCAAATGCGAAACACCACAAGTTTTTAAAAACAAGAAAAAGCCGTAATCAGTTTAACAGTTTATTTCAATGTAAAACAGAAAAAGCATTTTACCAAACGCGAAGATCCACCGATAGCGGCTCTGGGTTCCGTCAGTGCAGCACAAACCTAGCGTGATCTAGACTGCCATTATCCCCGAAGCACGGCCATGTGCGTGCGATCCGTTTGAACAATGCAGGTGAAATAACCTAGGCGATCCGAAGCTAGTGCATGCACACTCACGCAGACACGTATTTCAAAATGGCGGCAACAAACGGAGCGCCCAGTTATTTCAAATAAACCATGACCTTTTTTTAAAGTATTGAAGCACTTTTCTACCAATGTGAATAATTAAGTAAAGCGCCCTAAGCATTTCGACAACAAAAATCCAGGAATAACGCGGGTAATCCTTGTTAAAATTAGCGTACGGCATTAACCCAGAAGCGGTGCGGCTATTTGCATATGTCCCAGCATGCCCTACGGGGGTAATGTGAAAGCCTAGACAATAAGTTTTAGGGTTGAACCCCTGTGTTCTAACACAAGACGGCACCGAAGAGTCAAGCACGGACTGAACCCCTGTGTTCTAACACAAGGCGGTGCCGAAGAGTCAAGCGCGGGCTGAACCCCTGTGTTCTAACACAAGGCGGCGCCGAAGAGTCAAGCGCGGGCTTCATGTGTTTTACCATAAGGTGGCGCCGAAGAGCCTAGGCAATAAGTTTTAGGGGTGAATTAATGTGTTTTAACATAAGGTGGCGTCGAAGAGCCAAGTGCTGTCGTACCCAAGATATTTGTCGTAATATCATAAACCGCGGGCACGAGAAGAACGCACCCATCCTGACAGCAGGCACATTAAGACAAAACGCACATTAACGCTATTTCTAATTTAAATAAAAGTCAGACTCCAGCATCACAACTCCTGACTGTTTAGCAACATTTAGCTAATTTCACCAACGGATGGCCAATCAAAACTAGTAAATAACTTAAAAGACATATTTAGTTGTATTTTGTCAGGGCTTTAGAGTTTAACTTCAGATCTGTGAAAGTATAGGACCGTGATGTGTGTCCAAGACCCCACAAGTCGGCCGGTTGATGGAGGCATTCAGGAAAAGGAGGCTCTGATGATGTTGTCAGTTCGCTCACCATTGCCGGCTGGGGGGATGTGTCTCGACCTGAGTGATGGCTCACAGGTTGGCCGGGTTTTAATACGTTTTCGACATGGTTAAGCACGGCCTTCTCTCATCTCATTGGTTGTCATCACCAGAACGAGATACATCCCCCCAGCGAACTGACATCATCATCAGAGCCTCCTTTTCCTGAATGCCTCCATCAACCGGCCGACTTGTGGGATCCGTGTGAATTTACTTTTGGGTTGATACTGCGCAACAAGTCTTCTCCTCAACTCAGCCCTCAGCGAGCCCCATCCAGGACCCCATTTACTTTTGGTCAGCCACCAGAGCTTCCTCAACTCATCCCGCGGCAGCACGCATCATGGTGGCCGTCTGGGGATCCATTCCTGCCACCACCACCGAGTCCTAATGACTCTGACCTAATGGATAAATCGCGGACCCCTGCTTCGATGATGGATGAGCTCCGTGAGCGTTTTGCGGCTCAGTCATTATCTGAAGATTCTGTGGATGGCCGCATCACCGACTCTGCCATGATGATAATCAAAGGGGCACTTGCCTTTTTTCTGGATCGGATCATCGAAGATGACTTGAAGGAGACCTGTGTCGGCTGTTCTGTGAAACACCCGAGCCGGCTTCAGCACACGTGTCTCTACAAACCTGTGCCGTTTTACTTCTGTAAGAGTTAAATTGAGTTTAACAGAGTTGTATAACTACAGAGATTATGTTGGAAAAATAAATACTGATGTTATATTTGAATATTCAATGTTAATTCAGCAGTATCCATTTTGTGTTGTTGGATATTGTTGTGAGGACTTTTATTTTGAACGAGTGAGAGAGACAGATGTGATTAAAAAGGAGCGGGAGTGTTAAGAAGAGCTCGTTTGTGTCTGAGGTTTTTATTGTATTAATCTTCTAACTTCCTCAGTCTTAAAGCCCCGAAAGCACCCACAAACAAGTATTACACTGGTGGCAGCGGTGTTTTTCATGGGACATTCGAGATTCTTTTTTTTATATACGCGCTCAGTGTGTACAGCGCGGTGTGCCGTGGATAATTTTCAATGATGTCGGACGAGGAAGCACAAGCATCGCGGGGGAATAATGCTCGACCCTCGCTGCCGCGCCGTGGACAATCGTCTCCGAGAGACATTCCATTGCCACCGCCATTCCGCAACGATGGCAGTGAGTCATTTCAGCTGTGGGCTCGTCGTTACGAGGTAATACAAGAGGCTCGCTATAAAGATAGCGGTGTTAATTTGGATGCCGTGTTAGCAGCTGAGTTGCCCACTAGATTGCCGCCTGAACTGTTTATTGTTTGGGACAATTTTCCGTCTGCAATTCAGAGCTCCTTTGCTGCAGCCAAAAAGCAGTTGCAAGATGCTTTTGGTCAAAAGGATGTGATTGCATCTTTTCAAATGTTTCCAAATTCACGCCACAAGTTACCTAATGAACCCATGGAAGTGTATGCTGCAGATATATGTAGACTGGTCAAAGAGGCTTTTCCGGATTTTGAACCAAATGCTTCTGAATATATGAAACTGTCCAGATTTTTGGCTGGTCTGGATCAAGAACTGCAGATTAAATGCCATGAGAGGGGAGTGAAAACGTTCAAAGATGCCTTCCAAGTCGCTACCCAAGCTGAATGGGCCCGCCAGGCAGCTAGATTGGTACAGCCAATCCGCTGTAAGGGACTGTTCCACAGCGCAGACAGTTAATGCTATTTCTGATTCTGACACTGTTTTTCTGAAGCAAGCTGTTACTGATCTTACTAACACAGTCAAAGAGTTAAGTAAGGATGCTTCAGCATTGAAACTGCAGTTGCATGATCAACGAGGGCGATCTCATCGAACTCTATCACCACATCGCTGCAGCCCAACCAGATATGACTAGTCTGGAAGTGCATCGTATGGACATTCACGGACCAGACATTCCGATGCTCCTTCTCCTTCACCTGACAGGTACAGAAGATCGCCAAACCGTCGCAGGGACCTGTGCAGATGAACCAATGATACATACCAGCGTAATGACCACGGGGAAAGGTTCCAGGATTACGATTACCTAAAATACTTCGCTGACTTCGGCATTGACTACTACGAGGGTGGTAGGCGAGGACGATGGAATGACACAACATCGTACAGTAGCCCTTCATTTCAACGGCGGAGTCCGAGCCCTCATCGGAAGCGTGTCACCTTTGAGGACTACAGAGACCGTCATCAAGGACCTCAGGAGCCCAGCATGGATCTTCAGCGTGGTCCACAGGACATTTACAGAGATCACCATGGCCATCATCGGGGAAACTTCCACTAGCTGATGAGGCGGGGCACACATCAGCTGTTTCACCACCAGGCCCAGTCGACACCATACGGATGACAATCACAGACAGCAGTCTTCCAGATAACGAATGCTGTTCTGCTACAGACCTGACGGACACTTGTACAGCACACATCAGTGGCATTGTTGAAGGTACTGACATGCACATCATGATAGACACTGGGTCTAGCATTTCATTCATTAATGAAACTACCTGTATGGCCATTCCATCTTTGTGTAAGAGACCACTTAAGAGAAATTTCATTCTGTCAAAATCTGTTACTGGTCAGAATTTGGACACTCTGGGAATTGTGACTGTTACTCTGAGACTAGGTACACTGATGTTACAACATGACATGCATGTAATTAGA